GAAAGGTACACAAAAGAATGACCGCATTTTCTAAAGCACGTTTGAGATAAAATCTCGTTCACATGACATGAAGTTTGCATTATAAGCATACAAGGTCTCATACAAGCTAGCAAGCATTGCGAGACTACAAAATGGCGGTGCCCTGTTGTCGAATGTAAACAAACCACGCGATTGCATAAACGCTTATATATGGCATGGAACACCAAAATCCGATAAATAATTTTAAAAAATGTGTTTCTCCGGAAGAAAACCAGAGGTTTTCAGGATTTTTTAAAAATATCCGGAAGACTTTCATCATTATGACCATTATTAAGAAGGCTCTGCTCACCCTACAACAACATACTGAATGGTCTAAAATAAAATATGAATGGATATGTTCTATTAAAACACTTAGCAAGTTCCATATCATTCCTCATATATATAAACTGTGAAAGGAAACTCCTAGTTACATGTATACCACATTAAAGTAACATTGTACCATACTAAAGTTGACATAGACCACACCACTCAGTACTATAATTCACATTGTACATCACCACAGTCCACACTGTACAGTACCACGTTCCACATCATGCATCACAACAGTCCACATTGTATAGTACCATATTCCACATTGTATAGGACCATATTCCACACTGTACAGTACCCTGTTCCACATCATACATCACAACAGTCCACATCGTATAGTACCATATTCCACATTGTATAGCACCAGTCCACATCGTATAGGACCATACTCCACACTGTACAGTACCATGTTCCACATCATACATCACAACAGTCCACATCGTATAGTACCATATTCCACATTGTATAGCACCAGTCCACATCATATAGGACCATATTCCACACTGTACAGTACCATGTTCCACATCATACATCACAACAGTCCACATCGTATAGTACCATATTCCACGCTGTACAGCACTACAGTCCACATTGTACAAAACCATAGTCCACATCATAGAGCACCATATTCCATTTTGTATATTACTATACATTTTGTATATCACAAGAGTCCACACTGTAGAGTACCATATTCCACACTGTACAGCACCACAGTTCACACTGTACAATACTGTATCACACATCACAATTGTCCACACTGTATAACACCACAATCCACATTGTACAGTATCATATTCCACATCATACATCACAATAGTCCACATTGTACAGTACCATATCCCACATTGTACACCACCAGAGTCTATATCACGATCCACTTTATACAGTACCATATTCCACATTGTACACCACCAGAGTCTATATCACGATCCACTTTATACAGTACCATATTCCACATTGTATATCACAATATTCCACATTGTCGAGTACCATATTCCACATCACAATAGTCCACACTGTACAGCACTGCAGTCCACATCATAATCCACTTTGGACAGTACCATAGTCCATGAAGGGAGATAACTAGAAGCACATGGCTCTGTACAACCAGCTAAGTCTCATCAATTTCAAAGAGTAAAACAACAAGTCAAAAAGTGATGGCCCTCCCCCATATGGACATATATTTAGTGTTACATTACCATCAAAACATGTATAGAATGAAACAGATCAGACACATACTCCCAAGTGGACTATTACTGCCCAGGCATGGATCCACTAAGCCTGAAATAAAGCCAAAACTCTAGCTTTACAATTACCAATGGAATTCAGGAAATAGTAGTACATGAAAGCACAATCTAAGAATAAATTTAAAAGCCTCTTTACATTTCAACTTTGTAACTTAATAAGGACTGGCTTCGTTAGTATAACAATGTATATTATTAATAAACAATCCAAATGATTTATTACACAGACAATACATGTAACAATCTATCACACAAACAAAGTGTTTCATACACACCAAAATATTCTATTTATGATCCATTACCTAAAAGCTATAATCACTTAAAATTACAGTCTACATTTTTTAATTATAAGAGTTTGTATGGAAATATAATGTCATATGCAAAGGAAAATTGTTTTTCAAGGCTAGTTAAAAGTCCAACTCTACGTGTAATAAAAGAAATGAAAATGACTTCCATTACAATAATACAGTATTGTGGATTAATCAGTGCTGACTATAAAATCTTTCAGTAACCTAAATAAATCAAACAAAGTTAACCCAGTGTACTGGGAAATATACGTCTCAGCAGCACCGAATGAGTTAAAATAATGTTAATATATATCCTGTAAATGATTAGCTCAGACAGGTTAAAACCAACTGATTTCAAACTTATATTTTTATTGTGATTGATATTAAAATAAAAACAGTTATAAAATAAACATTTCAAATATTTAAATTAGATAGTTAACATCATTTATAATCATATTTAAAAAATAATTAAAGCAGTAGTTAACAAGATACTTGTATTCAAAATTATTTTAAAAGTTGTTACTTATACATTTATGCCACTTGCATTTTCACTTACTTTGGACATCAACAAAATGAAAAGTGTTCTTTTCAAGAGGAAAATAACTTCTAAATGATGAAAAATTGATTTTTTTAACAAGTTTTGATGAAAACATATCTCTAATGTCCAGACACACTGTGCAAGTGTCTAGAAAAAGCCAAGGCAAAAAATAAATTATTTTGGCAATGTTTAGATAATGTTCATATTGCTGTATCAGCTTAAAAATAATCAGTTATTGGCCGAGGCCTCCTTATAAGGATTGCTGTAGCCTCCAGCTGTATTGATTTTCAAAAACCTAATGAAAAAGCTTTTATTGTAATTAAAAGCCCAATTAAAAAAAAAATTAACATATAATGTTTATTTTCTATACTATATATATGGTACGGTAAGTACATACAGCTATTTTAAAATTTATTTCAGAAAAACTGGAGTAGGGGGTTTGGAACCCCTAGATCTGTGCCTACTTTTTTAACATTAAATAATACAGTTCTTAATTTCTAAAAAATAAAAATGGGTGGAGATGGGTTTCGCACCCTGAACCCTTCCTTTCGATTCATGTCTGCTTATAAAACATTAAAAATATAATTACTAATTCCACAAAAACATTGGATGTAGTTTTAGACTAGATCTTAGCCTGCTTATACAACATTAAAAAATACAGTTACACTATTAATTAGGAACATAACACAATGTAAAAACAAAACAAAAAACAATAAATTTACACCATATTTAACATTTATGTAATCAGAGCTGGTGACAGGAGCTGCCAGCTAGTTGCCTTACCTCTGGGCCAGCAGTTTAAAGCTAATGACAATGCCAAATATTCTCAGTAGCTTTGCAATACCAAAAACAGGATGAGCAAGTTTAGTGGCAATGGGAATCAAACCCATGACCCACAAATCACAAGGCACACGCTTATAATATAGCTTTGTGCTTAACAACAAACTCATATACTGGCAATATTTCGATATTATTTGGATAGTTGGAATAATCAGAAGTGTTAATATTTATTAGTTGATTATTTTCATGACATTAATCAATTACTTGTAATTTTGATTACTCAACTGGTTTATGAGACACTAATCGATGTAATCACTGCACATGGGTAATCAATGATATCAATTAATTGATTAAATCACCCACCAGCTCTACTTCTTGAAATTTTTTATTTAGACCAGATCATTGAGAAGCTGCCTATAAACTTATACAGAAAAACCTAGATTTATTAAAGCTATTTGAACAAACTCAAATTATCATAAGGTATTCCTCTGCATTAATCAATATTTCACAGACTACTAACAACTGCAAGTAATGGTGTTCCAAATATTTGCATTAATATTGTATAACCAATAGTACTCATGGTTTATCCAGAGAAAAAGTTAAAAATCACATTAACCAAAACAGTTTTTTGATAATAGGTAAATTTGATCAGAATATCACTTAATCTGTAGTTTTGGATCAAATCCTAACATCAGTAGCACTCATTTTACAGGTAACTCAATATTGTTTATTTAAATATCTTATCTGAATCTTTGAAGATTTTCAAAAATTAGTAAACTTACCATCCTTTCTTCATTCAATAAATTTTATAATATTGAATACAGATACATATCAATTAACAAGAAGTCAACCAATCTTTAAAAATTCTTAATTTTTTAACCCTTTCTAGACAGGTCATGAGTCAAAGACCATGTCATTGCATTTGTTGACTCATATCCAAATTTTAGTATAATATATTATTTAATTTCTTAATTTAAAAGTGAATATTAAAAAAGCACAGTTAAGCATCAATTTTTGCGTGTCATGTCGTATGATGAATGCAGCACTGGTTCAAATTAGATGTTTGTGAAGTCAAAATACTAAGTCTATAGTTTCATATGAATTAAAAACTCAAATTACAGATATTTACAAGCTAGAATATAACATATGAAGGTCTTATCTTTTCTATTTGCTAAGATATTGCTCACGTAATAAATCAAACATAGTGGCACCCTTTCATTTTTGGAAACACTCTCTTACAAACACTTACTTCTATATATGACATGAATAACCAATCGGAAACTCAGAATATCAAGCTTAGTAACTAAGATGTATTTTACTCTTAAAAAATATGAAATTTCGAGCAGACTATAGACACAACCTACCTCATTTAAATCTTGATTTAAAAGAAAGAAATGATGCAAGGTATATAATGATATAATGATGAAAGGCTTAGAAAACCACTAGAAGATAAATTATAGTGGAATTCTATGGTATTGATGTAGTAATTTATGATTTTTTAGTTATTCAAATGTATATATAAAACCTAAAAAAATATTTTGTTTCATATACTCCATGTGCGAAATTTTATAAGGCTCAGCAACCTACAGCAAGCAGCAACTGTGTACAAAGGTCATAACTAGAAGAAATAATTGTTTGCTCTACTTCTTTATTTACTGTTCTATGTTTTAGGAAAAATAACTAAGAATTTATTTCAAAATAGCAATAATCTATATACATATATAATGTATAACAATTGAATTGTGACTGTATTTTACAAAACACTAGTTGACTAAAACACAGCCAAGACAAGTTACTTTGTACAGACCAAAGTCACCTTTATGTTATTTGATACGGTAACATGAGTGCACGTGAGCGGCGTCATTGTAACTTCTGTATTGTTAGCCAGGCATGGGTGAAAGGTCATTATAATAAAAATAATAAATATATATTAATGTATAATGTTATGAGATTTAAGCTATTTAGTCTAAACATTTATGTTTTCGTGTTATAATTTGTGTTCATTCTAGAATGAATGATGCATAATTTATGTTTATTTCCTAATTTTTATGGTGGTTGCAAGATCGGTCAAGTTTACCGAACCTGTACAGAGATTAATTACTGAAAATAACGGATAAAATATAAAGTTTTTTCTTAAGAAATGTTTGATAACTATCTGGACATTATAATGATTTCGCATATGAAATTTCGAAATTTTCTGATGCATAAAGGTATTTTTAATATTAAGATGAAAATTACTTTGCATGATAGATAGGCAAGAT